TTTCATGCTGGTAACAAAACACTAGCACACAGTTACCAACAAAACAAGCCAGCAATGTTCCCAGATATGAGAGTGGAGATAAGCCCTCATGAGTTATGATCTTAGCAGTGTCTCAAAATCAAACAGAAATCTTATTCAAGGAGATTTGTGAGTACAGGACTGTGGTAATAAGAGATCATTTTTCTATCAGCATGTTGTTGTTTCCTTATTACCAACACCTGCAATGCAAACTGGATGTTGCAATGCAGTGAAACCTTAGGAGTTATGATAAATTCCCTAGCCTCCCTAAAAACGGGATTTTTTTACCTAAGGATGTTGCAGACTTCCCAGCCAAGAGTTTTGTTCTCCAAGGTCTCTTCTGGGTACCTCTCTCCTGCAGTCCCTCTAGATTTCAGTATTTACTTGTTAAGGATAAAATGTACCCTTACTTCAGACTACAGTGAAACTAAATATCCTGGAATCAAATCTGATAGGCCACACTGGAGTTAGAATACAAAAGATTTGCTGAGATTATTTTCCATAGGATTAGTAAATTTAAAAACAGATCAATGTTTTAAAAGCTCTTAATCATGTAGTTTTGACACTCTGATGGAAAAATTAATATAATCTGGGTGTCATACTTAAGCACCTTTTCACAAGCAACCATCTCTCAGATTTTCAATTGCAGATATTTTTCAGACTTTGCAAACTGTACCATAGAGCAGTAGACCCCCACTCCAACAGAGCTACAAATTCCATATAGGGTGAGTTATGAAACCAAGCAACTACATCACAGACAATGAAAGCTGCTTGATAAAATTTGTTAGAGTTATTTTGAACAGCCCTTCATTTGAAAGGAATGTTCAGGATAAATTAATCTCACCAAATCCCTGAAATATGTTATGCCCAGTCTGCACATTGGTAAACAGAGGTATATATAGGTGACATGACAAAATCACACAGTGAGTAGACAAGGAGATGAACAGAGGAGCAGGTTGTCCTGATCCCCAGATCCATTCTCCTACTCAGCTAAATCATCTTCCAAAGCACTTAATAATTTTTTTCAGTCAAGAGCTGCATTAACACCAGAGAGTTAATACAGATAAAAGTAGTAGTCCAAATAATTCCAGAGATAATAAATAAATAGCCTAATCTGAAGAGGATTTCAGTTTCTTTTTCAAGGCATAGTGATCATTCTCTCTAAATAAGTAGAAGAATTCTTCAAGGATTAACTTCTCAAATCTATGCAACTGAGAATCTGAATAATTTACACTGGATAGGGAGTTTTGACGGAAGCCCAAGCTTCCATTACATAAAGGGATTATACAGATAGTTTTCTACTGCTTGGCTGTGCAGGTGGCTTTCTTGCCACATAGAGAAAAAGATAGTTTCCCAGGCATCTTTCTGGGAAAAGCCGTGAGAAGCTCAGAGAAAAGAATTATAAACAATCCTTAATCTCTGCAGCTGTGATCATGTTAATGTGTCTTACATGATGTTTACAGTAAGGTTGTTTACCAAATGCATGTCTTGTTAATTAGCCAATCATGTGAAATGTGTTAATTAAATGACCAATCAGGCCCACCTGTAGCAAACTAAGATCTAAAAGGAGACAGCTGAATAAAGGATAGGCGTTTTTGCCTTTTATGCCTTTTGAATGATGGAGTCCATATTTCACCCTATACCTTTGGTAACACTTGGCCCTTATCTCTTTCTTGCTGTTTTACACAAGGCAGTTTTTACACCTTAGCTTTCCTTTTCCACCTCATTCCTTAATTTTCTTGAATTCTATTGAGTTTATCACTTCCTCAGGAACTTAAGCTGATTGGGCCAGAAACTGAATTTATGATCTTCTTGACAAAGCAGCACTCTGTACATGAATAATAAATCAACAGGCAAGCTTTGTCAATTTTTGTGAAAATGGGAAGTTTGTGAGCCTTTTAATGTGATCTTAATAGACCATACCTTGCTTTCTGTTCAAAGTATGTGCTGTGATTTTTCCCAACAAGTAAGGCCCTGTACTGCATTTTCCCTGCTCACAGAACATGTTGTTCTTTGAAGCTATGTGGCATGAGACAGCAATATTCCTTTCACTACTTGGTGGTGCCGTACATTTAAAAGTAAATTTATGCTATGCACTAAAAGAAACCCGACAACCAGGTGCTGCATCTCATAATGACATTTTCCATACCAGTTAATTATTGAATTTGTTGCTGTCAAGGTTTTGCCGTACTGAAATGGTGGTGAGCAGTGGCCTGCTGGAGCTGTGTCACTAACCAGATACCTCATTGCTGCACCCTAGTCAGTCATGACAGCCCTTTCCTATGCAATAGCAGCACAACTGATGTTTCAACAAGCACAGAATTAGACTTTAAACATTTCTATTAGTTAATAACTAAACTTCCTCTTTTCCTGTTTTGCTTTCCTTTTTTCTTCTCTTAGCACATTCAGGTGCCCGAGTTTGAGATATTTTCCTAACACAGTTCTTCTACCAAAAGCATTTGCTATCCTACCATTCTGGTCTTATATTTTGGGGGGAGGTTAGGAAGAAGGGGGTGTTCTAGGGTTTCTTGGTGGTGTTTTGGGGTTTTTTTTTTTGTTTGTTTTGGTTTGGGTTATGTGGTTTTGTTTGTTTTTTTTGGGGTTGTTGTTGTTTTTCTTGATTTTGTTTTAAAATGCCATAACAACAAATACATCCTGATACTCCGAGTCTGAAAAATGCAGCAGAAAGAAATGAGAGTTCCCCTAATATGGATAGATACACATTAGATTTTTGCACTGATTTTTAAGGAGATAGATTAAACAAGTCCTTGGAAGTCCATCTCATCTCTTTTGCTTCCAGAATAATACAAACCCAGGGCTCAACTGATAAGTAGATCTAATGTAGGATTAAATTAAAAGTATCTGACATTTATCCAGATTAAATCCAAGGTATTTTTAATATGAAAAATATGGGGTGGGGGGAGGGGAAAAAAAAAGAGAGTTTTTCATATGAATGATGTGAACTTGCATGTGTACACAGGTTAAATACAGGCTAACACATACCTGGTAATTTGCTATAGAATTCTAAGGTATATTCAAAGGACAATTTGTGCCCATTCACTGCTCAGCTGTTATTTGGCTATGAATGAACTGCAGAAATCAAATCCAAGCTGATATGTGGTCTTCCTTCAGTGCAATCACTTTAACATTTTTCATGCTGTGGAACTGGTCTATTTCTATTGCACTTTTCTCAGTAAGAAAACCTCAAGGCCAACATTTCCCCAAACTCCTTGCCCTGTAGTTACCATTCCTGGCTTTACTCCTTTTCAGCTGCTGACCAAGCTATCTCTGGAACTGGAAACACATGTTGTGATACACTGCTCCTGTCGTTGTTAGCCCTATTAACAAGTGGAATTTTCAGCACAGTGCCTTTCCAGAAATAACACAGCTACACACTAATTTACACTGTGTCAACAATCTCTCAGTGAAAGCTGATTTGATTTAGAAGTATATACCTTGGACCCAACCTGCTATCTCATATTCATTCCTCACACAGGGCATAGAAAAGCTTTGAAAATCCTTCCTTTATCAGCCTGTGAGTCAGAATCAGCCAACCTCTCCCTAGGTCTCTCTCAGATGGGCACTGCATCATTGTCTGCTGGTGCTGCTCTCTGTGGCAGCTCTTTAGAGAACCACATCACAGTGCTGTGGCATTATCCCGGCATGCACAAGTATAACATGGGTCTGCATAACTAGAAATAGTCTTCAAAGAAGAAGGTTGTGTTCAGTGGGATCCAAAGTCCAAGAAATTGACAGCAACAAAATGATATACCAGTTTCAGTACAGGACTTGGAGATGTCTCTTGTGTACTGCCAAGGGGGTCCAACAAAACAGTTTGCCAGAAACTAAAGAAATGAAATTTCCCTGCATCTAGAAACATACTGAAAGGCTAACAGGACTTCGAGAGATCTCTCCTTGGTTAGTACATCATTTGAGATTTATGTTTGACGACAGAAAGAAAACATTCTAAGAAAATGCATAGAGCCCCAACTATTGATCAGTAAGTGTTGGGTAGCTGCAACAACATTCACGTTAAAAAAAGGATGGTAGCATGGCCATCATGAGAAAACTCTTACAGTGTGAGGTCTGAATGACATGTTTCACTAGCATAAGCATTTGGGCAGGATGTAGAAGATGAGCTCAATTACAGCTGAAATTTAAAAAAAATAGGCCTATCAAAAACCATTACATACACTTAGTTTCAAGGAAGGATTTGGTACTGGCAGATCCTTCGACAGCTATAAATGTGATCTCTCTAGTCTCTCTATATTAGACAGAAATGGTTTTGCTGATTCCACAACAAAACACAAACCCCATGTGTCCCTTCGATTTTTTAATCTTCCAGTAGTTTCCCTAGAGGTGATATCCAAATGCTTCTAATCAGGCTTTTAAAGGCATTTCTGCTTCAGCCCAAGGAAAGTGAACCAGCTTTAATCAACACTATTAGTCACTTCCTACACTTATTGAAGGCTCAGTAAGCACTTTGTCTCACAAATTTCCCTTACCATGTTATTTGGGTCTCAGCATGAGGTGTTTTTAAATGACCATACAAAGCCAACAAGAGCAGTGTAGAAAGACTTCCCATATATAGGGGTCCAAATAGGTTGCAAAACACTTTAATTATATTTATGATTCAGGGAATAGTTCTGTTTCTACAGCTCCTACTCTCCTAAACTAAAGGAAGCACTTTTGTATCGTAATAATGGTCATGAGGTTTTCCAAGCAAAGAAGTATTCAGTAACCTACAGCTCCCTTAGCCATGATGTCACTTATCCTGATTTCCAGTATCTGCTATGCTCTTTGCTCCTGTTTCTCTCCCTAAGGGGACCTCCATCATGAACCCAATTTTGAAATTAATTCCATTTAAATTAGCCATTAAGAAGTCACTAACACTTTCCATAGCAGATGCATCATGCATAGATGATTTTTGAAAACTTAATAATTTAAAATGTGTGTTGTGCTCAAACATATTCAAGCCCAGATTCTTTCCAGTAGATTTATTTCCAGCTGTAAACACATGAAAATTCTCAGAGTCTATGAAGTAGATTCTAAATGGATGTTGCTAAAATCCTTGCCTTTGCAAGAGTTGCTTTCCACCTGGATGTCCCTCAACACAGATGGTTCTTCTTCCATTGTGTTTTTTGGAATAGTAAAAACTATGCAGGATTCTTTGCTGGATATGTGGTTATTTTGCAGGCAAATTTTACAGGATACACATGATACAGTATTCATTAAAACAAAAATGTATTAACTATTGCTAAAATATATGGCACTTCTAGAACAGCTAGTACATTAAAAAGTAATTTTTCCTATTTTTAGAGAACTATAATAGTGTAGTATAGCTTTGTATTAGGAAATTGGCACAAATTAGTACAATTTTTTAATGAAAAATTTGTACAACCCAATAAGTTTTAATTTTTTTTTTTAGTGCATTACAAAGAATGTCCCCTATATTCAAAAAGCAATATGAACAGATACTTCTGTGTTGGCATACAAGGAGAAATCAACCAATATCTTTTGATTTCCTCTTCTGTTAAGCCCTCGATTGTTTAAATTGATGTCTGAGATCACCTGAGATGTATATGAGAAACTACAATATATAAGCAATGCTAATTTATAGACCCATTTATTTATAAATTAAAGTTTCACAATAAACATAGATTACCTACATCCACCAGCTCTCTACCTTTGTCTTCAGATCTGCTTGGGATGTAGCTTAAAAGAAACTGGTTTTCTTTTTCCAGCTGAGGCTCCAAAACAATCAAAATAAAGACAAGTTCACCAAACCAAACCAAAGACTTTTATGACACTTCTCAAATTTTCTCTTTTACCACAAACCATTGCCAACCTTTCTGCCCATACAGACACAGGATACTTGCACTCATCTGGATTCCAAGACCTGCATGTCCAACAATGCAGGGGTATATCATACATATGGAGCAGGAATTGGTAAAGATCATAAGCATCCTGTGTAACTGCTCCAAAGGAAGTTTTGTAGGTGACTGCTGCACTTGTGACACTCAGTATACAGGGACACTGAGCCACCTTGGCCCAGCAGTCCAAAAAGCACCAAAAGCCATCAGCAGACAATATTCATATGGCCCACATCCTAGCTATCCCATCATTTATAGAACTGGTGTATATGAATATTTTTCATTAATAAAATGCATAAGCAGGGCTAGGAGGAATTAAACTTATTCCAGTGAATAAGCAAGTCTCAGTACACAGGGGGTTTTTTGCATTTTCTCTGCTCCAGTACAACTGTGCCTAAATCCATTGTCAAAGAGTAAACCACTTTCCAGAGAATGGATAGTACTTTCACATATTTCTTCTCAGCCTAATTTGCCACCTGTAGTATTCCCAAAAGTGCTAGATTTGGATTCGCTGCCCTCTCAGGAGAATTTGGTCCCTGAAATTCTCATACCCTTGCCAGTTCTGTTTTTAGAAATTTGCTCCTTTTCAGTGTGTGCTGTGCCCACTTCATGTGTCATTCTCATAAGAAGCTAAAGATGAACAGGTCTCTCTTTTAGATAATGGAGCTTATCATCCACGTGCTCTTCTTTGTACCAATGCAAACAGAATTCAAAGAAAGAGATGTCTAAAAGGATGTTTCCTTTTACCATTTATTTCATTTATCCATATCTGTTTTACCCAAATCCTACAGCTTTATATTGCTGACTTTCTACTCCAGTTGATCTCAGATCAGTCAATACATTTATGAGCCAAAAACTGTGTCAGCCATGAAGATGGAGTTCACTCTTGTTTGCAGAGGCAAACATGAAACTGATCATCACAAACCTTTGGAACACACCACCACAAATGCTACCTTCATTTGTGAGCATCCACTTACTTAAATAGGCCTGACACTTTAAGAAATAAAGAGATGCTGTGATATAAAATTAGACACCAGATTTGTAGAAGAAACATTTCATTGATATTTATTGTTGACAAGAGAATTCCTGTCATCTCTGGGAAAATAGTATATTCAGTGCTAAAGTAGAATTTTTATCAAGCTCAGAAAACAGTTGATATTCTCTTCCTTGACAAACCTTATCTTGAGCATATGTTTGATTTGCTTCTTGATAGCCTATAACATATGGTTTATTTTGCCTTGACATCTCCAATGCTTAACACTGGCATAAGAAATATCAGGGAAATATTACAGTGAACCTTTCAGTACAGATATGAGATACATAGTGGCCTGATGAGAGAATTAGTATTTGGTAGAATGTGGTGTTTATGGATATCACATCTTTTATTCAAATAAAAATAGGCCAATGAGAACTATAACCTACAAAGAGTGCAATTCTTGTTTCTTCTATGACTTAGTACTTCAAAGGAGGCAGGCAGATAGATAAACAGCTCAGGCAATGGCCTGGCTGAATTCCACAGCCCTTTGGAGACACAGGGAAAGTTGCATGTTTCCCTCTTTACCCACCATTACTATAAACAATATACTAATCACTTCCAGGTAGAGCACCACCACAGTCAATTGAATCCAGTAGAGCTCACGGATCACTCTGCTTAAATCATGTTGAGAAGAGTTAGGCTTTATCTCTGATCTTTCCAGTTCAAACATTTTAAAGGGGGCGTTGTTTTGCAAATACACAATTCAAGAAGTTATGAAATGAGAAATAATTTAAAACACCCCAAAACAGCAGTGGCATTTGAATGCTATGATGCCTTACTGGATGTGACCCTTTTGTAACTAAAGTGAAACAGGTTTTCATGGAAATAAAATATATAACGATTGAGATGCATTAAAGAACACTGCCATATGAATCCAAAACTGATCATAACCAGAAGTATCATTTTAAAATGTGGTCTAGCATCTGAGCTCTCACTTGAAACAGGCAGAAAGCCATCTGGCAGCAGACATTAGCCAGCACCATTCTCTTTCAGCTTCAGCCAGGCATAAAGAACTTCAAATCAGAACTGTCTTTTGTCACAGCCATGGAGTCCAGCTGTGTGTCACCACCAGACTTTCTCATTTTCCATATATCTAACTGAGAAATCTCACAGGCTAGAAAGTGAGATGCAAGCAGACAAAATGTTGCCTCTCTGGCTTTGGCATTTTGGTGGAAAAATAGAAACATTTTTGGTCAATCAACACCACACCTATTTTGCCATAATCTATCAACTCTTACAATGACAGAATTGCAGGGCTCAGAAGGAAGATGAAGGTATATTTGTATATTTTTTCCTTCAGTATGTTATTTACTGTATTAAATCATTATAATAATCTCTCTTGTAATGCCTGGTGCGTGGTAGGCTGTGTCACAAAAGCACAAAAAATCTAATTTTAATTGATTTGGTTTATTTTGTTTTTTAAACAAGGCTGTCTCAACTTTAGCAACTGACAGTGTTTTTAGAAACATAGCTCATGGTTCACAGGAGCTACCAGATGCTCAACACATTTGACACAATCAACTGGATTCTTACATAGCCTACACTTGGGTGTACCACTGTAATTTATTTCCCTCCTTCTGAAAGTCTTCAAAATGGACCCTGAAGTTCTGGGTGCAGATTAAGGTCACAGCACACTAGACTTCAGCACTTTCTTAAAGCAAATATCTTACTAATACTCATAAAGATTTAAGATGTCCAATGGAGGGGGGCCTAAATTTTCAGATAATAAAATAGAAAACAGAATTACAGTATAGTCACTGCAAAGACTTTGTACAGTGATTATTTGGGTTTGATTTTTGGTTTTGGTTCTTTTAGAACAACCTCTCCTGCATCTTCTGTCAAGTCAATTGAAACAGAACTTAGAGTTTTTAACAATGATGAAAAAAAAATAAAAAGAACCACAGACAACACCATTCTATGCAATATCTGTTTAACTCCACCATTCTACTTCATGCCTGCTGAGCTCCTAGAGTTGTTTCATTTGATTCTTTTATTTTACCTTCTTTTTGATCATATCACATTTTAAATGAAATGTTGTTTTGGCTTCAGAATGAAATGTTAAGGAATTTTGTGGTATAAAAATGTAAAAAAAAACATAGCTTGCATCTCCAAAGTAAATTATCCCTTCAAGTATGAGAAAATTACATGCTTCACTGTTTTCAGGAATCTCCTTTGTTTCCTCCCAACTGTTATTCAAAGGTAACTTAAATCAAATACATTTTTGATTAAATTGAAATTTTCTGTTTGTATCTGAAATGTAGTCCAAATCTGGTTACATAATTATTTAGAAAAGGCACAACTGTAAGCATGTAAATTGATTATTTTAACATATTATATCACTATTTTGTGTGGAATTGTATTATTCTGGGAAAGAAATATATTTTACTTATACATCATTTCTCTACTTATTGGGTTTCACAACTGCACACATCTGCTTCACGTATGGATTGGAACCACAAAGAAAACCTAATGCCAGTTGTGAAAATTTTTTCACAGTGTTTTGAATGCATATGAAACAGAAAAGAAGGGACTTCTCTCCCAAAATTGCTGGTTTATAGCTGCAGGCAGCCAAACAGTGAAGTTTGACAAATTTAGATTAGAAATTAGCAAAAAATTAATTACTGGAAGAATGCAATTTTGATGAAGACTGGTTGTCTTCCAAAAAAAAGCAGAGTAGAAATCAAGCCATGCCCGAGTGCTTAAAACAGAATGTATTTGAATACATCATTTAATCTGAATTGTTAGTACTTGAAGTACAGGATTCCTTTGTTTATCCCAATAAATTTAACATTTCTTTCTTTTATTACCTCTCTTTCTGTTCCTTTGCCTCCTCCACAGTTGTTCAGCTGCTTGGATTAGTATGTTTGACATATCCTACGCAGTTTATTCACTACATCTTTTATATTAAATTCCATCCCTTCAAAAAGGGGCATTACTACTGAATGCATATCAACTCAAAATGAAGGTTTGAATTAGAAGATTTTCAATATAAAAGATGAGAATGTTTGATAAAAATTAAGCCTATTGCAAATTAATACAATATATATCAGGTTCAGACCTGAAGCAGCTATAAAGGTGTCAGCATGGCCTTCACTGAAACCAAGAAATTCTCATTGCTGACATTTCTTTGACTTTGGTATTGCTCTACAACCTATTAACAGGTCCTTTTTAAATGAATTAATTAAAGCAATTTTCACTGGAACTCTCATATTACTTCTAAATACACATGAAGCAAGAAGAAGAGTATTGTTTTTCAATGTAGTCAAGTTTCTTTTTGGATGTGTAATTTAAATTGTTCTGTACAGAAGCTTCACACATGTAGAAAGTTTAAAAAGTTGTTTGTTAAATTCTTTGGTTATAATTCTTTTAAAAATCCTATTATGTTTGGTTACACAAGACTGCATTTAATATACTTAAAGATGCAGTACTCCTTAGCTGTGACATATTTATGGGCTGTGCATTAAGAAGTTTATAAAATAAGCAGTATATTCTCAGTGTCAAACAGTTCTCAATGAAGACAATTATTCATTCTGTCTGTTTGTAATTAGGTATGAGATAATTTATGATTATGAAGGTAAGTGAGCAATTTTTTTTAGAATACTGTATTTTCTTACAGAAATGTTCCCATAATATAGCCAGAGCTCATAAATTACTTACCTTATATTTCAGTCAGATTTCTTGTGGAATTAATAGACATATGGATTCTATCTCAATAGTGTGGGTCAAAAATAATGAACAGGATGCAGACTATCAAGCAATTCTCCATAACTTGATGAAAATAAATCCAGGCTTGACATTGACTGATCTGGGACTGGCAAGGGATGGAACTGATATTATCTCTTCCCCTTAGAAAAATTGTGAGGTCAGAACCTCAAAAGCTTCTTCTTAGATAAGGATTCAAAGGTTGAATGCTTATCTGATTTATAGACAGTTTTATCTGCAAGCCAAGTGGAAACCTTTCATGATCGGACTCTCTTCTAAGATTTCTATTGAAATTTCACACAGTACACATGTCCTACAAAAACAGCCTCTGTCATTGCATAATAAGTCTTTGGTGACAACAAAAACATGCACAGTAAAAGGTTTTATTCTAACCATAAAATGAAAGAAACTTGGAGTTTAAGAGAAGTTTAGTTTAGTTAATACATATATTTTTAATTAACTCTTTATACATACTAGTGCAGTTTAGCTCTCTGTATAAGGCCTGATATTGAAATAATATGGGCAGAGAGATTCACAGAGATTCTGGAAAATAAAGCTAAGTGGGAGGATGCTTCTCCTATTTTACCTTTCTCCCAGTCCATAGAAAGGGTGATCTCAGCTATGTTCCACATATTTACAGACAAAGAAAGAGGCAGGCTGAAAGACCATTTCAAATCCTGCCTCCCAGCAAAGCCCTGCAAATGGTCCCAGCCAGACATCCTTGTGCAACAGTAGCCAAAACCACACAAATAAGGAGCAAATAAGAACAAAGTGGATCCTAAAAAGCTCCAGAGAAAATCTCACCACACAGCTAAAATATGGTATAAATTTCTTAATGTTTTCCAGAGGTATTTTACATTTAGATTAAGTCTCTGAAAAAAATGACCATTATTAAGCTATTTGTCTTCCATGCACATGCAAAGTATCTAAAATAATTAAAGTTTTAACAGATTTTTCTGCTACTCAAAAAAAAAAAAAATCAATATTAAAGTCACTGATCTAGGGAAAAAAGGAGTCACCTTTGACATTAAAATAAATCTCAGAAATTTCACCTAAAATGTAAGCCGTTTTTGCTGTAAAATTACCAGTTTCAAAAAAGAGGGGGTGGAAATGTATGTGCTTCCTCGACCATGACAATAGTGTTCCTACTTCATTCTCATAATGTTATGGGACCCCAGGCAGCTCCCAGCCTCATCCTGGAATGATGGCATATTTCATGATTATGTCCAACTCTGGCAGATAAGAGCATTTATATGCTAATAACAGCAATATGTGTAGCTCTAGAATTTCACCATAAGCAGTGAAGCTTTTAATCACAATAAGCCATATGGGCCCAATTTATCTACTTTTTTTAAAAATATATATATTATAATACCTACATAGGTGTTCCAAAATGTATTTCCTTTACAACAACTTTTAGGGCCCTGTAAAAGAAGAAATGAATGGGAAATGATGCCTCAGAGGACTGTATTATTAATAAGGGGTGGATTATGCTTAACTTCTTCAAATCAAAAGAGAAAATGGAAGCTATGTCATGATGGCTGTGTGGTGTTTGGATAAACGGAGAACAAGAAGCTATGCCAGGAGCCCATAGAATCATCTTTCCAGAGGAAGCAATAACATACAGCCACAATTAGAATTTGCACAGGCCATAAAGGAACAAAACCCTCTTTATCACTCATCATCCTGCCTGCAAAACTGGTTTGGTCTGTTTCTACCAGTAACTATTAGGAGTATTCCTTTTTTATAGTTGACAGCCCTGTGTATCCAGGTGGTCTCACTGTTTCAATTATATGTTCAGTCAGGTCCCATCTGGCACAGAAACTCTCTTGCAATTTTGCCATCATGCTGCTCAGGGCTGACTTCAAGAGCACAACAGCGATTTGAGCTTCCCACTATCAGGACTGCTGGACAGTGGCTTGCCCTGGGGAAAAAACCTGAAAGAAAGATAGAAAACTGGAATTGAGTTCACTTCATCTTTTGTAGATAAACCACTCAATTTCAGTGAACTTATGTGACATCTCACCTCTCTCCATTAAGTGCCTAAGGATGCTGTGTCCAGCACCCCAGGATAGCTAACAGTTTGAAGTGCTCCCTGTTTTCATCTGCTGCAGGAGTGCTTCAGGTCACTGTTAGGTCATAACATCTGTGATCTGAGACAGGGGAATTTTCACACAGCTGTATGGAAGGCAAAAGTATTTCAGAAATTAAAAATGTTGTAGGATGCTTTGGAGTTAGAATGATTCTGAAATTATTTTACAGCTTTCAACAGACCAGATCTCAGTTTTGCAAATTTTTTTCTAATTTAATAATGTACACATGACATGAAGTTTGTCACCAGAATTTTTATCAGCATCATAGATACCCTTTCTATCTGAATCTGCTTCCAGTCTTGCCACTTCAAAGCAATAACTTTATTTCAGATAAAAAATCAGCCAATATTAAGTGCTAAATTCTTTCCAATACATCAGAGATTAAATACTGAAGTACATGCTACTTTCCCAGAACTAGATAAATGTCAGACATACAAATGCTCATTAAAAAGGTAGGTCACAGACGTCCATGAAATCTTGTTGAATATTCCCCCTTTTGCAGAAATCTAACATTTCTAAAAAGTTTAAAAAACTGTAATATTAAATCCAATCCAAGTTGTTTCCATTAAGCTGTTTAAACCAACCTGATCTCACAATATTGCTGGCCCTGCTTTGAGCACCAGGTCTCCTGAGTACCTCACCACCTGAATTATTTTGTGATCCTATTAAGGTCATCACTTGTATCCTAGATAAATACCACTTTTAGTCCATCAGATACAATATTTAATGGAAGCCATTAAACAAATTAATCCTACTGAAAGTTTGCTAAGTTACTTTCAATATGCAAAAAATGAAGGCATTTTGAAAGGCAAACACAAGAAAGAGAAAATATTGACTTTTGCTCTGAAACATTCATTCACAAATGTGCTTTAAGAATTCTTCATGCCATCTTCTGGGTAAGTTTCAAAAGCATCTTTAATGTCTGGCAGAAATATAAGTAGCAGTTCAGGACTGTTCATGCAAATGTCACAGCTGCACAAAGAATAAAATAAAGAAACCAGATTGCAATGATTTCTTTCTTTTTAACACATGGATCAAATGAAGCATAGCCTGTAATTACATTCCCAGAGAGTAGCACAGATAGCAAAAATTGATATCTATCATTTGGATTATATAGTAACTAATTCAAGTCTCCTCTAGAAAGGATCACCACAGGCAGTGGAAAAAGCTAATACCTGGAAGCTATTATTCTGAGGCAAAGCCTGGTCTTCTCGAAAACCTAATTTTCCTTCATCTCTCTTGACTATGCACGGAAAATCTAGGTCCAGGGAGATAGGCAATCCTTACAATTTTCCTCCTTGAACTCTACTAATTAGATAATAAGGGTTCCCCCAACCCAAGAGATTCCACTCCTGGCTCTGAGCAGGACCAGCTGGACAGGTGTGCTGTTATTGTCCTTCACACAATTGTATGTTGACACAACAACAGGTGGAAACTCCACCTCTCAAAGTTCCTTTAGGGTCACATATTATGGCTACAGATGAGAGCTGTCTTTAAGGCAATCTAGTTCATTCCAGGAATCAATCTATTTCCTCACCAATAAAGATAAAGAAATGCAAAGAAAATATTTTCCTTCCCTTCCCATCTCTTAGACAGAAAATTCAACGTCCTCCAATCTCTTCAGATTCTGAAACTGTATTACATAAATTTTAATTAAACAAATATGGTATTAGAACAAATTTTTACATCCATAGATGAGAAGTGACATTGAAAACTGACTCAAACTAGTAAAAGCAGCTATGCCCCGAATGTGCAGCTTAGCCTGACTGCCCATTGCCACCTGAAGCGCCGAGAACAGCTCCCAGTGACTCCTCAGCTCCCCACAGAGAAGGCAGAGTCCCGTCTCCAAGGGCTGGGCACATCTGGAAACAGCATACATCTGCCTTGTTAGTCGGGCTTGCACCACAGGAAAAGCACAGAGAAACCCCCAGAGACCAGCCTAAAATATCAATCACTATCTTCTAACTCCTGCTTCTAAAGCTTTCAGCTACCTTAGTGATTGCAGTGTTATGAGAATCTGGAAAAATCAAAACAGTAAGGCTTACTATTTACTGAACAACAGCAGGGATAGCAGTGAGGACTACACACTGAAAATGTTCAACAAATCATTAATGCCGTGCTGGAAGATGCTCGGGCACCACAGTGATATAAGGACTAAAGACTGTGACATAATCTGTCATAAGATACACAACAAGATACCTTTGACAATTTTTCAATCCTTAAATCAGCTGTAAGTGCTTGTATAATGTGAGGGAGAATTTGTACTTTTCTGGGTGCAAGCAAAACACTTGGTGTGTAACCACACAGGGTCTTACATATGCAACAACTATGCAGTATACACAGCTAAATTCTGGATATGTTTATTATATAACTTGGTAGAATTAAATGAGAATTTAAATTACAATCCTCTTCCATTTAATTTCCTAATTAGGACACTAAATTTGAACCATTATTTTATGTGAGCAAAGCCAATGAAATTAAATGCATCCTTATTATTTTAAAGAGATAAAATTGTTAAAAATACCTCAAAAGCTCAGAGTAACACAGATTTGAGCTGCTTTTATCTTTTTTTCCTTTGACAGAAAGCATTTCATTGGCAGTACTAGAAACAAAACTGTGCTTGCCATAGTCCAAAGCAGGTCTTGCTTTGCTTGTAATTTTTGATTTGTTTTATCCAGTGTGAAAATTAATTGCAAATTCCTGATGTGATTTAAATGATCAAGTGTGTGACTTTTAGTGTAACTAAATGGTTTAAATGGTTGCACAGATATGGTTAAACCATAGCAAAATCATAGGGGCATTTGAATTGCTAAGGTTATAAGAGATCACCAGGTCCAACTGTTATCACAGTGCCACTGAGTTCAACACCTGTGTTCCCAAGTGCCACCCGCATGATTTTTGAACACTTCCAGGGATCTTGCTTCTACCACTTTTCTGGGAAGTTCCAATGCCTGAAAACCATTTAACTGAAGAAATTTTTTCCTAATATGCAACCTAGACCTTCCCTGGTGCAGCTTGAGGCTATTTCCCCTTTTCCCTTGTCACCTGGGTGAGGAGCCGGGGTACATCCTCCTTTCAGGTGTCTGTGCAGAATGACAAGGTGTCCCATGAGCTTCCTTTCGCCCAGGCTGAACGCCCCAGCTCTCAGCTGCTCCAGACAATGCCCCAGCTTTTCTGCCCTCCTCAGGACACGCCCCAGTTCCTCAGGGCCACTCTTGGGGTGAGGGGCCCAAAACTGAGCAGAGGATTGGAGGTGTGGTAACACCAGGACTGAGCACAGGCACTGCTGAGGAGGGGAGGGCGAGCCTGGCCTTGGCACACCTGGCACGCAGCCAGTGCCCATCATCAACCCACCACCATACATGGTCTTCTACTCATCTTCAAAACCATTCATCTTTCTTTCTTCATTTCCAAGTAAAATAAAATAAATAAATACCTGTCCAGCTGTGCTAAAGCCTGAAAACTTTAGCCTAAAAGGAATAAATTTTCCCACTACTTGGCAAGTGAATTTGAAATGTTAGAGTAGGAACAGTTTTGCTACATTATCTGCAGTGGTCACTTCTGTTCCCATAATGAGAATTCTAATGATAACACAGCAAATTCTGAATTATTTCTGCTCATAAAGATTTGTATTTTTACAAATGGAACTACGCAGAGCACACAGCCAGGTCTCAGCTGCAGGAATGTCTCAGATTAGCCTATTCAAATTACATATATGGAAGACTTACACTGCCTTTGCTCAAAGCAGTCTTTAGGGAAAGGTTTGAATCCTTGCTACTTTTCAGGTTTTTTGTTGTGTGGTTTTTTTTGGGTTTTTTTTTGGTGGTTTTTTTATAGATAATTCAGTACTTTCAGAATCTTACCTGGCCTGATATTCAGAGCCAGAAAGCAGAGTTTTTCAAGATAAAACTTTCTTTGATGATAACATTTCAAGCCCAAACATTATGCCACTAGCAGAGAGAAAATATTTATCCCAAAGCCATTTATTTATTTTATATTTTAAGAGATTGCAGCCCTTAAGAACTACTGTGCTTATCCTCTCAGAAGCACATACTTGAATGAAAATAGGATGGAATTAAGCAAAATTCAGGGAAGAAGAGCCAGACTCTCCTTTGGTGTAAAGCTGCTGCCAGGGGCCTAAGCTGATATATAGCAGTTGGCAGTTTGGCTTGTGTATTTTTAGTACAAGAAAAAAAATCAATACTTTCAGACTCTGCCTCCATTCTCTTGTGACACAGTGGTATTTAGGAATCTTTCTTTTCAAATATCTTGTAATTGCCTTTGGTAACTAGTAATATGCAAAAGAGAAATGAGAAATAAATCAACAAACTTACTTGTTCAAGCAAAACTTAAGGGCCCAAATAGTCTAGATGACTAAGTGTGTTCTTGTGATTTTATGTCCCTGAGGCTGCAGGTGGGAAGACCACTGCAATTACCAACACACACAAAAAAAAATGTGTCATTGTAGCTTAGGATGAATCAACACCTACTTGTAAAACGTGTAGAAGTAGATGGTGACTATAATTCCCACCACAATCTTTCATTTCTTTCATTTTATACCAGAACCTTTCAAAGCCACCATTAACACACTACAAATCCTACATTTATGTTCTGTTTCCATTATCCAGCCTTTCCTATTTATTCTCTCCACATATGTAAAGATTCTCCTCAAGATTCTCATATGTACAAGTTCTCCTCAAGAAATATTATTTCTTGTTTTATTAAAGACAGTTTTTCCTCCCTTACAGGCACTTGGAACAATACTGCAGAGTTACTTCAGCTTTGTAATTTGGGTACTTCTCTACTGATTCCCCCTTCTATCTCTTCACGGACATGGCATCTCCCAGCCCATTTCTTCTTTAATTTCAAGTGCTTGTTACATCTCAGACCCTGATCCCAGACTCATTTCCTGCCATGTCATACTTATAACAATACACATTTGTGCCTTGTTTCCCCTCTTCCAGATTGCTCCTCACAGGTGAAGCAGAAATCACCCACCTTTGCAGAGGACTGTTCTTCAAACCCTTCCCCCACCACAAGGGAGGCAATACATTTGCCAGCCAACTGGTGTTATTCAGTAG